TCATTTCGAAACTTATTTCAAGAATTACATTATGAACATTTTGAATAGTTCAAACATATATCGAAAAAAAAAAAAAATTGTCTTTGGTATCATATTTTGAATGCATTTTCAATGTCATTTAGTATTTTAGAGTTGAAATTTGCAAATAATATAGAAAGAATTTTAATTGAATAGGGAATTCAAGAAAGGTGTATCCTATGTCATGAGATCACCTACGTCAACTCTCAAATCAACTAGCAATTTGACTCATTCGTTTTAAATTTAGATGGAAAACGAGGCCATGATCAACTTGCCTCCTTTGACTTTAGTGCTTAAACGCATTGAAGGGCCTTCAATATTTTCCCTATAAATTGAGCGCACTCGGAGACCTTAATTTGCAAACCACTCCAGCATCTATATTAGCAAAAACACAAATCCAAATGGCTCCCAAATCTCGTCTCTTGATTTTTATCTTTATTGCTATAATGGCCACCTCAATTGCAGATGCCCAAATTCTCGGACTCAATGTCACACTAAATTTAAATGGGACTGTAAATTGTACTCTCAATAGCACCATTGGTGGCCCACCTTTCCCTAGTAAGTTAATCTAATTTACAGTGAGCTTGAAAATATGCATGTCTTTTTTAAATTTGTTGAAGTTTTCAAGTCGCCTGAAAAAAATGGAAAAAAGCCTATCATAGGTTCCTTTGTCTCCCAATCAAAATATTACGTTGAACTTTTTAATTCATTGACAAAGATTCTAATTCTTTTTCTTCCCATTTTTACACATGCACTTATACTGCATTATCATTAACAAAAATACATCTTCTACAGATGCTACGGTGCAGTTGCAATGTCCTCCTGGAATTAATATTACCACTGCTATTACAAATTCACTTGGACAATTTAATCTCAACGTGAGCGTTCCTCGAATTCTTCCCAGCTTACTGAATTGCAGCCTTGTTGTTTTAACCCCTCTTGCGAACTGCAATGCTTCCCTGCCACCAGTGGGACGTCTTGTGTCCGGCCCCTTAGCAGTTGTTCGAGTTGACATCATTAACAATACCATTACCATATTTTTAAGGCTTCTTGGTTTATTCTTCAACGCTGAGATCGGTTCTGGTTAGTACGTCAGATCGTTAACTGGACAACAGCCTTACTCAAAATAAATATTAAATGTTCTTATTCCGAATATGGAGAGTACTAAGTGGTAGAAACCATGATTTCCTAAAGAGAAAACGGTTTCAGTTTATCGACTAAATAAATGTGAAAGTTTCTTGTAAAATATCTTGGGAATAAATTTCGAACAGCTGTTGTACTATCCAGTTAAATGAAACATATATATTTAAGTATGATCAAGTCTTCTCAGAAACTTCTTTTCTATTTATTTACTAATTATTATTTTCTAACTTATACTCGCATTATATTGTAGTAGACGGATGTGTTCGCCTAAGTATTAATATGCACTTGCATCCTATACAATTGAAGCATGCAATAATCTTAGGCACTAGACTGCTGAATTATGCAATTTTGTTAAATAGTTTCGAATTTATTTAATAATTTAATATTTCTCGTACATACCAAGGTATTTGATGATCTTATAAAAGACATTCACTCACTGGCACTTGAAAGAACATCTAATTAATAAATTTTCGTAAGTTTATTATTGTCAATACTCACAACGAACATTCTCCACCACATAAATAAATTGCGTACAACAATTGGCATATTATTTGAACTTAAAGACTTTATCATAACAATGCACCAACCTGTGTTCACTGGTCGATCAAAATGTGAGTTTATATGATCAAAAAGTGATCGACGACATTTAATCACCTACATTGGTATAATGTTAACCACCTCACTTGCAGAAGCCCAATAGCTACCTATTGGATTGCATATCACAGTAAACAAAAAAGCACAAGAATATTGTGATGAAAAAAAAAAAAAGGTCAAGTATATAAGTGTGATAATGGATAAAGGTTAATGTTCTTTAATGTAATTAAAATTTGGTTTATTTAAAAAAAAAAAGAAAAAAAAGTGGTGTGAAATGAAGGAATTAAAAAATAATATATTAAACTAGGTTCATTGATTACTTTAAAAACATGTTAAAAATAGCGACATATATAGTTCACAAAATTACATCGAATACAGAGTAGATACATATGTCGGCTATTAATGCCTAGTAAACCTAAAGCTTTCAGCATTATTTCTTCAAGTCAAATGTTTTCATAATAAAATAAAAGTTCGGCAATGCTATATTGAAATAAATCAAGTTGAGAGATGCATTATTATTCAATTAATTACTTGTAGTATCTTATATATATTATAATTTCAATTGAAAGGTGTATAATGACATTAGATATGAAAAGACTACCTGAAATAGAATAAACATCTTTTCACCTACGGATGCATCCGTTGGTAAAAGTAATCAACTTTCAAATACGGTAATTAGCATGGGCAGGCCTAGGGGGGTCCGGGGGCACTTTTTGATAACATGTTAATTTTAAAAATTCTCCAACGATCGTACGCTAATCGAATATCAAATTGCTTATGTCATCTCAAAATTTATTTCGAGAACTACATTATAGGTATATCGAATAGTCCAAACAGATATCGAAAATAGTTAAAAATACGTTAAACGTGAATCTTACAAAAAAAACGTTTAACTCGCATTTTTTTTAAAATTCAATTATTTCATTCACATTTATTATTTTTGCTATACAAATTTTTCAATGTAATTTTCAT